CAATCTTGCAGTTGCGTATGTCTGATTCAGCTTCTGATTTTCTGATTGGGATCAATGAGAGAATATCGTTCAGTTCATTGATTCTTGAACGCAACTCATGACATACGCGCCGCAAAGCCAGAATCGAAACCAGTTTGCTTCCGCTCTGAACACGGCCTGGTATGGCAGCCGTGGAATCAATATTGATTCAATACCTTTCATTCGTACATAGGTTGTTCCTGTCCCTTTCACTCACAGGTGTATTTTTTTCTTTCCATTGCAACTCACTGCGTTGCACTCTCCAACTCCCCCACATCCAACCTGCGCCATTTTCGAATTTTATTTAGTATCCGGCCTGGACACGGTGTTTAGCCCGACCTCTCTATAAGAAGGCTCAAAGAAGGCTGATTAATGCCAGTGTCTGTCAGCATCCGTATATTCTCCGCATACCTAATTCCGAGGAGAGCCGCAATCTCCGCTTTCATACGTTGGTCCAGACATGATGCAATTGTCTGCCGTAGAACATGAATCAGCCAAGCATCTGGCATAGCGCATAATTTTAGGCCTAGGCTGCCATGCAGACTCTTTTATCTCGGCTTCAGATGTTTGTCTTGAGGTGGTGCGGGTGGGATGAGTTTCTCGTGGTGGCGCCCAGATCATTCCCGCATTCCATGTTTATTTTCGGTGAACATACAGAATGGAATTTGAAAATGCTAGCGCTATACAAATTTTCAGACAGCGTAAATAGAACAAGGACATTGTAAATCCCTCATTCCATTCAATCTGCCTCGTGTTTCGTTTAGCACACGCCGCTGAAGCTTTCAATGGATTGACGCGCATCCAAGCACCGGGTTACACCTCCGCCGGTGAGAACGGGGCTTTCCCGTCAGCTGCTAATGGATGTAGACGCCGTCGACGAGCTTCTGGTTCGCTCAGCCGGCGGCGGCAGGTAATTTAAATCTTAAAGCATGTCAGTAGAATTTAGCCGTAGAAGCAGGAAGCTGAGCGGAGGTGAAGATGGATTTTGCCCGGTAAAAATGCGTGCGCTGAGAGTAAATTCAAATCACTGTGCATCACGGGCGGTCACCGGCGGTGTGGACCTTCTCCCGTGTTGGCGCCGGGTGCGTAGTCGTATTCGGCTTCTCCTGCTGTAAAATATGGTGAGTTTATAACTTACCATTGAACCCGCTGCGTAAATACGAGGCCCCAACGGCTTCGTCGTCGCAGTTAGTCGTTTGAAGTTGCTACGTCTGGATACAAGTTTGCGATTCCAAGTTCAATAACGGGTCACAGAGAGGCGGGGCAAAAATAAAGCGAGAAGTTTTGGTCCAGAAGCACAATGCTGCTGTCAAATGGTACGCATCGCGCTGGCAGATAGGCACCTGGGAGCTGTACTGCGGGCTTCCATGCTGGACGAACCGAACCGCATGCCATATTCATAATTGGATTGGTGAGCATCGATCACTGTCGGGGGAAGGCAATCTCCGCTATCTGATGGTGCCATCTGATACATCGCGCCAGATCGCGCCACACGGCGGCCCGTTTCCCAATGCGGAATACAAGGTACGAAACGAACCCGCGCTTGGCACGGGCTCGGCTTCGGGGATCATAAGCGCCGCTGTGAGCGGGTGATGCGGGTGATGTGGGCGCAGCCACCGACGGCATCACGCGGATCCCGACGCAGCATCACTCCACGCAATCACCACTGATTCAATCACCAATCGCAACACCCCGTTTGAGAATGTTGCTTGTTTTCTCTTTCTCCTGTTCAAGAAAATCCTGGGCAGCGTGGAGTCTAGGGATCGGAGCTCAAAAACACCCGGAGACGGCAAAACGGCAATATATTCTCCGTGTGAAGACCTGTTGAAGAGCCGAAAGGGGTGGGGCCCGGGAATGCAAATTGCTCTCACGCATGCCTTGTCCTCACCATCTTCACAGTAACTCATTACACATCGGACCCAGGTAATGTTCCGGCAAGCTCGCCGCTGAGAAAACAGCGCGATAAGCGACAGTAAGCGACCCGCGCTTCTTCGCGCTTCCGGCGCTTTTGAATTGAGCTGTGGGTTTAGGGATCCATCCCTGCATTGGCATGTAATTTGTTGGCAACCACTCGCCTAAATCCCAGTATTCCTCCTGGCGACCTCGGATGGACTCATATGGGGTAGTTTGCGCTGGACTGAGTTTGCACGGAGTTTTTACGGTAGGAAAATTTGTCGGCCCGTATGTATTGCGCCGTATAGTCGTCGCGTGTTCAATGTCGGTGAACCTCGGTGAACCAATTGAAGGTGACCGGTGACCGTAGGTGATCCATGTGTTAATCCATAACGGGCATCAAGCGGACTTGGACTATGTAAATCTGAGATCTCCGTGATTGTCAGGTTGATGGAGCTCGCTTGCCAAATGAACCATGATGCAGACTCGATTTGAATTCATTGACTTGGGACGAGTTGAGTCTCTGTACAATTCGGAGTCCCTATGTAGTTGTATCCAATTGCTGGTGGCAGCCGCTTTCGGTCCATGTATTTATTACAATACACGATACTTGCAAGCTGTCAGTTTGCCAGGTGCCTATATCTGATGGCAATTGACCAAGTGAACCGTTGGGACCTTTTCCACATACTTACAGTTTTTCAACTGGGCAGACTTCCTCAGCTTTGCGTATATCGGCAAATCGACCTCAAATTTCGGAACTTGTATCCACAGAGGTATTAGGCAGCTCAATGATACGAGATTCAAGTGGGCGTGCGACGACTTATCCATCTTTCAATCGATTCCGTAGAATTCCGTACTCTCTCCAAACTACATACCGGCCCACTCATACCCAAGTATAAATGGCTCAGTACAGCTCCACCTCGATATGAAAACTTTGCGGCATCGGCAAGGTGCCGTTGCTCCCCGAGGCCGGATAAATAAGACAAGACCGGGTCGCCGTGTGGCCCCGCGTGCTGTGTAACCACGACTCAGTACATGCATCCCTAGCTCGCAATCGCCGAACTCAACGCTGAGTACTTCATGGTGTGTGTGTCGGATTTTTACATCAGCGTAGCTTGTTATCTCTAACTTTTTGCCCTGACACATTCTAACACTTTCTCACCCCGAATACGTTACATAGGTGTTGGTCGTATGCGGTTCAGTTCCGTTCAATACTCCACGCCTCTGCTTTGCGACCGAGATGCATTTATTGCTCTGCGCGGGGCGTGTGAAGCTAGTTCCTCGATACATGAAATGTGCCTCACCAGGTGCATGATATAATCTCCCACCCGAGCGTGATGTATGGCACACACATGCTGGAGCTAAAGGCTGAGACTGTTCAAGTGGGAAAACCAGGTTCGACTCCCGGCGGCTGAATGAAGGGAGTGTGCCGTTTTTTTTTTGTTCCGGCCCAGCATCAAGGATTCCAGTCCAGCGTCAAGAATTCGAATGGTTGTCGGAAGCCGACAGGTGACTAGGCGGTCGGATCGGGAATGGGAAATTGACGGTGCGGTTGAATCGTGGATTGACGAGGCGGCTGGGTGATAGAGCCATGATTTCGCCAGATTTAAATGCGGTCATTTTGGAGACAAAACCACAGAGGGCAGTTTGAAGCAAACAGCAAGCAACCCCGGACTGCAGCTCGACGTGATCAGTGAAGGCGTGGTCAGATCGACTTCTTGAAGTAGCAGCGGGTCCGAGTCGTAACAGACATCCAACGTTGCAGCCCCGAACGAGGTTGAGACCAAATCCGATTGAGTGTCGCTCTCATTGGCGACGGTAACACCGGGAAGTGGCCCGCGAAGAGTGCAGTCTGCAGCAGGATAGCGCCGATGCAACTTGAGGGCCCAGCGCCAAAAAAATGCCATGATGCCCAGAATATTCATACGCGTTGGACGGAGAGATAAAGAGAGGCACTGGCATGCCGTAGGAGCACGCCTTAAGAACATCTTACATGACCTCACTCTTAGCCGATAGGAGCGCTCCCTTCGCACAACGGAAGATATGTAGCACCGGAAGCCTGAGAGAGTCCAGCCAGAGACTGAAATAGCTGGTGCCCAATAAAGCTATGCGCCTCAGCATCCAAGGTCGGCGGCATGTCTTTCTGGCCGCCAAGAATACGAATGTATACCTGCAGATGGACGGCATGCATGCTCGATAGGCGTGAAAAATGAGATGAAAATCGAGAAAGGTTTGGAAGTGACGCACCGGAGCACTGAAAAGTCAGCTCGAATTCGGAATAACGAAACTCTTAGTTACACTCACCTATAGTACAGAGGGATACCGATCAAGAGACGCCCCTGGCTTCGCACATCAAGCCCGAAAAGACGCCCAAGTCAGAGCACTGAGACCACCCCAGACCGAGCATTCAGACAAGACTGAAACTGAGATACACACACTGCATAACGTCGGCCGGATGTCGATTATACAGGCCAGGCAGAGCCAGGGGTCGCAGATAAGAGATGGAGAGACGTACGAGGATTCGAGCGTCAGTACCTCCCCAACCTTGAAAGCTTGAGCCCACCGACTTCGGTCCCTCACTCTCGGTCGAAAGTAGGTGCGGTGCAGCGGAGAGAGGTGTATGGCAAGTGTATGGTGTCGCAGATTCTCACATCCCTGTGTCGCAGAATCCATCGACATCCGCCGCCCCACTTCCCCGGCGTCGGGCTGCGTCCCTCTCGAGCGCTGCTTACCTCTGGCACAGCGTTCGCTCGGGCGCCACGGTTGGAGGGCCCTGGCGCAGCCCACGTCGACGGCGGCCGCGTGGACGTAGTCAGGATTCAGGACGTAGACGCAGAGGAGCTGATCCCGTCAGTCGAGACTCGATGCCATCGATGATCCCGTCGGTCATGGTCATGGCTGATGGATGGTCATGGCTGATGGAGGGGCGCGCAGTTGGATGTGAGTGACTGTAAACTTCCAGCATTCTCACTGACCGAAATGATCCCTACCAAAATTGAATCATCTACCTCCGTTTTTTCACCATGTGCAAAGTTGTTCAGCGTATGAAATCAAGCTCTCCTGACCTGGTACCCAAGATACTTTCCAACTCGGACGTGGTGCTTGGTGAACGCCCACCGCCTATTCGAGAATACAAAACGAAGAGTTAAGTGGGAAAACCGGGTTCAATTCCCGGCGTCCGAATGGGCTTTAAGTACTTTTTTATCTTGCCTCTTTCCATCCTGATGATATCGGTTCAGAGTTGGGGCCTGATAGAATGCAGAACAATTCCGACAGATCGACATACTACCTTCCAAGCAAGTTGAACCTGCCTTCATTGCTCCCCTGTGTGCAAAGTTGCTCAGCGTATAAAATTACTGTGCTTACCTGGTACACAGTATACATTTCACCTCGGACGTGGTGCGTGGTGCACATCCGCTTCAAGTGACATGAAAGATGAGGTTCTCAAGCGGGAAAACTGGGTTCGACTCCCGGCGTCCGAAATCGAGGGAAATATAAGTTTTTTTCTTTGTGTTCGCGTTCATAACATTCCGTAATTGGATCGTTGTGTGAGTGAAGTGTAACAGTAACCTGCAGCCGCCGGATTGACCGAAATAAATAACGTATATCCAAGTTGAATCCAAGTTGAATCCGTTTTCGTTTGTCCACAACTACGCGTACCCCGGTTCATAATATAGATTTCACCTCGGACGTGGTGTATGGTACACACCCGCTGCAACTTTGAAGTTGGGGAATCCGTGTTCAAGTGGGAAAACCGGGTTCGACTCCCAGCGTCCGAATATCAAAGAACCCAGGATCGCTTTTGTTTTGTTTCGTCCCAGCCCTCCCCGCCCGCCCAGACAAACTGCCTGTCGATTATAATGAACATCGCTGGGTATGAAGGGTGCATGCCAATTTACCTCCACCCATCCGCTCGGAGACTCACGCTCCCGAGGCCCAAAAATTCGTGACTTACATATCAGTGGAGTGTGATTTTGCGGTTTAAAGAAACTAGGGCTCAGCTCACCTGGTTGATAACATAGACTCCAAATCGGACGTAGTGTATGGCACACACCCGCTGCCCGTTCTCCTACGGCAATAGTCAAGCGGGAAACCCGAGTTTGACTCCCGGCGTCCGGATGGGATGACATCTAAACCTTTTTTATTGTTCTGCTGCCCCATCCTGATAATTTCAGCGCCAAGACGTTTAATGGATGCGGATGTGGGCAATTCCGCCGAATCCTGAATGCGACTTATAGCAGTAGCAAAACAACAGGGCTTGAATTGAGGATACTAGTAGTCCTTCTGCGTTGTCAAGTTGTTCAGTCGGTGTATGCAAATTGCTCGCGTCACCTGGTGGACACCACACATTCCAACTCGGACGTGGTGCGTGGTGCGCACCCGCTGCAACTGATATTGGCGAAAGCAAGTTCAAGAGGGAACACAGGGTTCGACTCCCGGCGGCCGATTGGGCGCTCGCGAATTAGTTTTTGACCCAGCTCAAAGAAACTGTCGGAAAAAAACCCAAATCTTCTGTAACAGAAACTCTCACCCCGGCCGTCGAGCTCACCGTTGATCTTTATTGTACCATTGATCACCTTTATTATACCGTCGATCATCGAGAATTTTATCATCTTGGATTCTCGTTGTGTCGGGGAATTATCTGGGCTTACTGTAAAACTGAAGAATGAGAATGAGAGCAGGCAGGTACATATGGGATGAATAATTTATATCGCCACTTACCTATAGCTAGATGTGAGAATCTCGAAAGTCGCAGAGCATGAGAGCAGAGACGTGCTCATTATACAGCCGTGAAACTAAAGAGACACCCTCAGGCTGAAATTCGCACTGCGGTGGAGCGAAAAGCTTGTTGTACCGACCGCGAGCGGAATATTGATCTCAAGCGTCAATTGACGGTAGCGCGCCGAGAGTAGCGCCGACCGACTGGAAGAGCCCAGAGACTGAGATGGCACGAGCCCGAGGATAAACAGCGCCGCAAGAAGACTGCGAAGCGCCCAAGGAATGACTTGAGCAGTGCCCAAGAACGCGTTGTAGACGCTCACCCGGGCCATCGGCGGCCTGTCGGGATGCCAACAATGTCGTACCTGCACTTGCGGAAATATGGTCGAAAGGCCCGAATATACTGTAACAGTGCATTTATGTAACCAACCTTGAAATGGATGTCGGTGTCGGTCTCAGTCCCAGTCGAGAGTCGACAGTAGCTAAATAGGAGCGCCGGCGAGAATGTAGGTTCTGATAAAGATTGAGATAGCGCCACGTGCACGAGACTTGAGTACTTGAGTAGCGCCCAAGGTAAAGCCAAGCGCCGCAGGGTCCAAAATCGCTGCACGCCACACAGAATTAGTAGTTCCGTTGCCCGTCATGGACGTTAGGTAGCAGGTTGGTTGTGGAGATGGGTTGTGGAGATGGGGACTCACTCGAGAGAGGCACCGAGCGTCGCAGATACGAACGAGCTCGAGACGCCCAAAGCTGGACGGTAGGGTAGCGTCCACAAAAAAGGGGGAAGGTGAAACTTTGAAGGAGTGCAGCCCACCGAGCTCAGTTTCAATCGAGACTCGAGGGTGGGTAGCGCCGTCCGCGAAGCGTTGCCCACCGTATCTCAAACCCAAAAGACCGGCTGACGTACCATGAGGCAGCGCCCCGCCGCACCGGCAGTGAAGCGCCAAAACGAAACAGCGCCGCCATCGAGTGAAGTAATAGCGCCGCCATCGAGTGAAGTAGCGCCGTCCTTGGTTCGAGTTATATTGTTGGTTCGAGTTATATTGCCTTTACCTTGAGCGCTAGTCGTCGTCGGGCGCTACTTACCTTGTGGTAAGGTCAAGCGCCCGCCAACGTCGACTAGCGCTGTCGAAGCGCCCGCCCACTCCAGATTCCACAAGCGCCTAAGTAAGCGCTCCTTCCCTTGAGCGCTTCCTGTGGTGGCAGTCGCTCGCTGCTCGCTGCACGGTGGTGGACGTAGTCAGGCCATCGACGCAGACGCAGACGCAGCCCTGATCCCGTCAAGTTCGATGGGAGATGGCATCGATGATCCCGTCGGTCGCGGTCATGCACGACGCGACGCGTCGATATATCGTGTATCTCGCTCTGCGCCGGAGCACATACTTGCAGGCAATGAATATTGAGGATAAGAAGAAAGGCAGCACAGGGAAGATGGAGGCAGAAGCGACAAGCGCGTCCTTTATTTTATTTTATTTTGGTTTATTCGATTCTACAGCACGGCTCGCGCGCTCGACGATAGTCGACCATCGTATGTAGCGAGGATGTAGCGAGGAGGAGAGGAATCGACAGCGAGGAAGAGAGGACAAGAAAGAGATATCAACATGTAACGAGATAAAAAGGGTTCAATAGACGAGTCGGGACAGAAGGGAATAAAAACGAGTTCAATGAAACGAGTAACGGGAAAGAGGAAGAGGTATCGAGTAAAGTTGAACGGTATCAAGAGGAGAGAAGACAGGAATAACGAAGTGGGAGGATACAGCGAGAATGGGAATGGGAAAGATAAATATACAGTTCGCGAGAAGGAAGAAAAGAATCAACGTAGAAAGGTTCATTCGTTCATTTTTTGCGCGTTCAACCTTCAGCTCTTCCCCACGATTAACGCGTTCGTTCAAGCCGGACTCCGCTCCCTCCCGCTCTCCCTCCTCTCCTCCCTTTCGTCACGCTCCCGCGGCGACGGCGCGCGCTTATCCCCCGCACCTGTGCGTTTAGTCTCGTCCGGCGCCCACGAGTCCACACCGGGGAGGCGTTGCGACTCGCCGTTCGCGTTCGCGTTATTCCCATTCGCAGCGGGATGAGGATGGGAGTTTTGTGGGTTGGGCGTCCCCGGATGGCTCACACTCGCGTGCGGGGAGGCGTGCCCGTTCCCGTTCTGCGACGACGGCGCATGGAGGGGAGGGATGTACGGGGAGACGTTTTGTGAGGCAGACGAGGCGGACTGGGGTTGGGATTGGGGAGGGGGAGGCGCAGAGGCGGGGTATGGTTGTTGTTGTTGTTGTTGTTGGGGTGGGTAGGGCTGAAGGAGGAAGGAGGAAGGAGGGTAAGTAAGGAAGATAGATAACGGGAAAGACAACGGAAGAAGACAACTCACCTGCGCCTGAGCGGTAGGCGGCGAGCGCGACTGGAGACTAGAGGACGCGAGCGGGCCGCGCTTGTGCGGGAACTGTTCGGGACGGGGGCGCGAATGCGTGCGCTCGAAGAGGCCGCATTTGTTGCAGAGCTGCGTCGTTGCGTGTTAGTTAATTTAAAGCAGAAGACGCAAACGAAAACCACATACCACCTTCCCCGGACTCAAATTGCTCCGCCTCCACGTGCTCGTATCGGTCGTACAGCAATTAAAGCACCGGCGCCGCACCCGATCGCTGAGCTTCGTCGCCGCGTCGTCCGTGTGCACCACCTGTATGACGCCCTGGCCCTGCTGCGACCCCGCGGGGGGCGGCATCGGCGCGCTGAGGATCGTGCCCGGGAGGGGGTACGGCACGTACCCGCCGTGCTGGATGCCGTACGGCGCGGGGTACGGGTGCCCGTGCGCGTGCGGGTCGTACCGCGGCGCCTGGGGGTCGTCGGGGTGGTATTGTTGCTGCTGCTGCTGGGCGTGGGGCGGCGGGGGCGCGTAGAGATACCCGCCGGCGCCGTAGCCGCGGGGCATGTCGTACGGGTAGTGGTGCGGGGCGTGCTGGGGGTGGTGCGGGCCGGGGGCGGCTTGGGGGGGCGGGGTGCGGCGGCCCGCAGGGGGCGTGGAGACGGCGCTGCGGTCGAGGGAGGATGCGGAGGGGGACGGGGAGCCGGAGTGGGTTGGGAGGGTGGCGATGGGGGGCGGGGAGGCGCGGCGGTCGTAGGGGGAGTGGCGGTGCTTTGATGTGGGCTGGGGGTAGTACTGTGGCTGGGGCTGGGAGTGGGACATGGGGTAGGGCTCGACGCGGTGAGGCATGGACTGGCTGTCCTGTGTTTTTGTCTGGAAGTTGTCGTACGCGGCGGGGTCGATCTTGTCCTTGCTCTCGCTGTTGTCCTCCTTTGGTGGGATAGGGGATGCCTTGTCCTTGTTGGCGGAGTTGGACTCGCTGATGATGGGATGGGTTGGTGGACTGATTGGGAAGAGGGAGGAGTATTTAACGACTCACCTAAACATTTGGGCGATGTTGGCTGATGGTGATGGCGATGATCAGGCCAGCCAAAAAAAAACCCAC